AAATAAAATCTTAAAAAAAAAAAAAAAAAAGAAACCTACTTTTCTTTGGATTTGTTTCAGCAACTAATGCTTCCGTGCTTGCTTTACCTCTCCTTTCCATCCAAATGCTTTGTTTTCCCCTCATAGCTTTTTATAATTAGTAGGGTTTTTTTGCTTTGCTTTTTAAATTTACAGTTCAGTTTGTACCAATTTAGGAGATATTTTTTAAAAGAAGAGCCGTGTTTTTTAGAGACTTTTTTGGGGGTGGGGTGTTGGAAGGTGGTAATGAGAAGGGACGGTGGTAAAAAAGCCCAGTGGGTTTTCAGCTCCAGGTTTTCCCACTGGCTTATAAATCTGAGAGAGCCATGGATTTGGAGTAGGTTTGTCCAGCAAGTTCCAAGTTCCAGTTCTTGGATTTTCCCTACAACAAAGTGTCCTAATCCCATACTTCTTTCTGAATAAGGCTAACTGTGGACCTCTTCGTCTTGTTCCCTAAGATATCCTTTGTGAACCCAACCATCCCAAATACTTCTGTAATTTTAGAATTAGAAGTGATATCTAGAAACTAAACATTAAATACTATGAAAACAATATGACCAAAAAAATACCCTTTCAAGAATTGACAGAGAAAATCTAAATAAAAGGTAATCAACTGGGTGTTTATATTCACTGCAGAAAATGAAATTCTAACTTTTGTTTTATCTTCCACAGACAAGCAACAGAAAGGTGAATTTGCAATAGATGGTTACAATGTCAGAATGAATAACACTCTCAGGAAGGATGGAAAGAAAGATTGCTGTTTTGAAATCTCTGCTCCTGATAAACGCATCTATCAGGTTGGAGTTTTTGTGTTGTTTTGAAATTAAGTTGATAAAATGTTCTGATTTCATTTATAAAGCCATTAACATTTTGTTAAAACAACTCTCCCTGACATGTTTAATAATAATAAAAGATACTGATTTTATACAGTGAACATTCATATAAGAAGAAACACATTTTTGGGCGCCTGGGTGGCTCAGATGGTTAAGCGTCTGCCTTCGGCTTAGGTCATGATCCCAGGGTCCTGGGATCGAGTCCCACATCGGGCTCCCGGCTCAGCAGGGAGCCTGCTTCTCCCTCTGACCCTTGCCCCTCTCATGCTGTTTCTCTCTCGCTCTCTAAAAAAAAAAATAAATAAAATCTTTAAAAAAAAAAAAAAGAAGAAACACATTTTTAAAAAAAAATTTCAGATTAGTTGTGATATCTTCTCTTGAAAGGGAACAAGCGAATATGTAATTTATCAGCTACTTCACGTGTTGCGTTTTATATCTATTTTAATAGCACTGCGTGATTTCTTAAAAGAATTACATAGCAGAAAGAGTAAAATTATCAAAAGAAAAATATCAGCATGTTTATGTATATTGTCTTGCTTAGGGTTGTGGGAGAAAATGAAGGTAAAGGCACATATCAGCTCCGTGATTCAGGAGCTATCAGCTCGCATCGATATGGAATGTATGTTTAATAAGTTTTAAATATCTGAGATTGCAGTTGAAAGCCAGTTAATTAAGTTGTCAGGTAGTGTGTTGGAATCTGACAAGAACATTTTTAAGAAGACTGTACCTGGCAGTCTGAAGAAATTCATGGGTGTCTTCTAATTGTCAAGGGCAAATTTTGTTCATCAGTTCTGTCTTTGACATTGATGAAGAGAAGCAGCTTTTTTTCCTGCACAGCTGCCAGCTCCTGATCAGAGTTTCAAATCCATCATCCTCTGCTTCAATTACGTAAATTTGTCAAAATTAACTGTACATTATAAGAAGCATCCTTGCAAGAAAGGTAGTACTAGACATGAAAAGAATTACTAATGGTCTTAAAGAAGTGATAAGAATGCGACATACCTCTCGTTTCCACTGTGGTGAATTTTCTTATTATTGTTTATTTTTTTGTTAGTTCACAGCAGCTTCTCCCAAAGATGCCGAAGAATGGGTACAGCAGCTGAAATTTGTATTACAAGGTAAGAGCAATCAATTGAACTAGTCATTGCAGTCTTTAAATATTGAAGAACTGAACGAATTTGGATTTGCATGTACGAAAGATTATCGACTCCTATGAGAATGACCAAGGGAACGTGGTCGTTACTAATACAGACTGTTCACTTCAGATTTATAAAAGTGTTTTTTCTGTAAGTACCAACTGGCAACTTTGCAATTCACATATTTATGTAATAATCAGTTTTTGAAAATGACTCTATTGGGCTACATTTGTTTAGAAAATAGGGTTTTGAAAACCTCTTTTGCATTCTCAAAAAATTTGCCTCATGCAACATATTTTTCAGACATGGGATCTGATGTTATTCCTGAAGATGATGATGAAAGAGGAGAATTATATGATGATGTTGACCATCCTCTACCAACCAGCAGCCTACCAGCAAGCAGCCAACCAACTGATGATGAAATTTATGAAGAACTTCCAGGTATTTATCATCTGGTGATTCATTTAAGGATTTTTAGGGCTTTTTCCCGGCCCCCCCAATGTCATATATCATCAAGTTGACAACCTGAGTGGAAATGGTGAGCTATTAAAAACAAGGACAAAGAAAATCCTCAAAACTCTATTTTATGAAAAGGGTTCTGCTTGAGGTATTTCAAGTGAGTGGATGTACACTTATGAAAAGTGAGTGGAATGTTAAAATGGAGCAGATACAGTCCTAATCTCATGGGACTTTTGGCTCATTAGCATTGTTTATGCTACATAATTTTTTAATTAAAAAATTGACTTGCCTTACAGTTTTTTCCACCAACTGACACATCATTTTTTATTTATATATCTTGGAACTTTCATTAACCAGAAGTTCTGTGCACACCCCATATGTCAACAACTTCTGCCTCATATATTCCTGTTTGCTGTGGTGTATTGCATTGTCTTGGAGAAATATTGTTGCACTATAAACAAAGGCCTTTTGAGACTTGAAGTTTTCTCACTTGATATTTTATCATCAATATGAATAAGTTTTCTTATTCTACATTTTTAGGCATTGTTTAGTGTTTATATGCCTCAGTATCTGTTACATAACATAAAATTAATTGTCTACTGGCTATTTGACTTGTATTTTTGAGGGTCAAGCTAAAACAGAATAGGTATCACGAACTTAGGATACCTAGAATATGAACACATTCAGGGAATCATTGCCTTACTAATACTATAGGTTGAAATGAACTTTTTTTCTGTCTATTAAAAAATCAGTAGAGAAGAAAAAGGGATTATGAGCAATGTGAGATTTAACCAACATCTCATGCAGAGAAGTTGTTTTTCTCTGAATAGAATGATTTTTTAAAAGATTTTATTTATTTATTTGAGAGACAGAGAGAGCACGAACAGGGTGAGGGGCAGAGGGAGAAGCAGACTCCCCACTGAGCAAGGGGGCCTGATGCAGGGCTTGATCCTAGGACTCTGGGATCATACCCAAGCCGAAGGCAGACACTGAACTGACTGAGCCACACAGGGGCCACTGAATAGGATGATTTAACAACATAGCATAAACCTTTAAAATTGATTTCAAAAATACTCAAAATGTTCCAAATTAACATACAAATATCATTTTCAGTGAAGTCAGTAAAGCATAGTAATAACTAGCACGTGGATTTTAGAGTCATAAAGTTTAAATTCTGGCTGTCCCATTTACCAGCTCAGTGACCTTAAAAGTTGTCTTTTCCTTCATCTGTAATTCTTCATTTTCATCTATTAGAATTCTTTTTTTTTTTTTCAGTCAGTAAAATGGGGATAGTATCATGGTGGGGGAATGAGCTCTCAGCACACTGCTTGAATCATGACAAGCCCACAGTAAGTTGTAACATCATCATTATTGTATCCAGTAAATTCTTGCAAGTGCTTATATGAAACTATAAGAATGGCTTTTCTGATCAAGTAAGAATTAATGATTGTAATGGTATTATAAATTCAAGTACTACAAAAAGTACTCACATATGCATCTACATACTGGTTTTCACTACCCTAGAGATGATTAGTCTAAAAGCATAATTTTGTGGGGAATAGTAATCTGTACCTTTTTATTATTTTAGTGGAACTATATGTTTATAGCCCCTTCCTTTCTGATTGATCCTAGGGAAATGGCATCTGCCATAGTATTAGTTATCCTCAAGTTGGGAAGAATATTTTCTGACCGCTTGTTTTTAGTCACACCCTATCGTTAACACATTTATTTCATTTTTAAAAATGTTCAGAAGGGCTTGCGAGAATGTATACCGATGTAAAACGGAGGAAAGTGGTACCTTTGAACGTATTATTGTCATACACCTTTTATTCCTTTAAAACCCTGCAGTGAATGGGTTACATTATAATTGTTGAATGTTGAATTGACTGCTTGTTAAGTTCTGTGTTTCTTCAACTGGACCATCCCCTATCCGCCACTCCGCCCCCCACCCTCCAGAAAACTATCAGTCAGGAGTGAAGATTGAATATTCGTAGTCCTCTTCCTAACAAAGGTCCAGGGAAGATCTCCTTTAAGTAGCTTGAAATCTTAAAAATATGAAACATCTTTTCTTTTCCCTCACTACAGATGTTCTACTTCATCCCTTTTTTTTTGGCCTGGGGCCACATAATTGTTGGAAATAACTGGTTACTCTTTAAGTGGTCTTACTTCTTGCTGAGGTACTGGAAGAAATCTAAGCTGCTCTGGGATTCCTTGCCCCTGCCTGGGATCCCAGTTGCTGTACAAAGTGATGGAGCTTGATAGAGCCTGCAACTGTGCCCCTGGGAAGGAAGCTGGGCTAGGCAGCTGTGGAATGTCTCCTTCTTCTTTCTTCCCCAGTGTACCCGAGAACCGCTTCAACATCTGCACAGCTCAAGTCTGTCGAGTCTGAGCCAGCCGCTACAGAGGGGATTTTTCTTAGTGAAAGTCCTCAAGCTGTCTCTCAGAGTTTGTTGAGGTTTTGTTTGACGAAATATCTAAAACTAGGAAGTCGCTTTTCTTCCTTTAAAAAAGGATCTCTCAGGATGAGCATGGAGGGAGTTGCTTTCACTTCTGTGAGATATGAGTACAATTTTGAGAGGAGGGGAGGACAGTGGAAGAGCAGTGAACACATTCACAAACTGCTGCTATTTTTCCAGTTCTGTACAAAGAAGGACATATCTCTGAGGTCTGACTGGTTAAATTCCAAGGATGAATTAATACTACCATTTCACCACAATTTTCTGTCCATTCTATATAGTTGAAAACTAAGCCTCTTAGTTGAAAGATGGAGCATACAAATGTGTTTGAAGGAAAATCTAAGTATTCAACGTCACAGAGTTCTTTTTCTGAGAAAGTAAAGCTCTTACCCTAATGAGTATATATTTTTGAATGTAAATAAACCTGAATGTGTTTAAGTCTTAATAACAAGAAGAGAACGTTGCTTAAAAAATCGTATTGCGAAATATCCCTTGAAACGTTGAATTCTCTGGGAGTGTGAATGGTCTCATTGTGATTGTTTTTCAGTGAGGGTCTTCGAACTTGATTACAGCAGCTTCTCTTTAATTTCTTGTTCATTAATTTTTAAGTAGCTTCGCCAAAGAATAAGAATACATTCTTTGTGCGTAGGGGATTTATGCATATGTACCAAAGAGTGGAAAGAGGGCCATTTCTGGGGAGTAGGAAAGGCGTCTGGCTTTTCTTCAAATACACTAATGCTTTGACATCTTTTATGTCTTGGCATCTCCTCGCCTGGGCCACTCAGGTTTGCTCACACGGTGATATTACTGTGGCATATTTGTGTTGGCACGACTTGTATGTTGATCAAAGTGTGTTAGACGGTTTCATAACAGTCATGAGTTCATTCAGCTTTGCACAGATTTCAGAAGTCGGTGCTCGTTTTTTCGTTAGAAATACAGAAGAACGGTTTTGTTTGATTTTTGAATCTTGAAAGAGGAGAGCAGTCCTTGGGGAATGGCTGCAGAAATCAGCCCAGCTTGCTCTTCTAGTTACCACGTCACTTGATTCCCCCCCGCCCCCCGCCCCAAAGTCAGGAAATTGTGCAGCAACAACAACAATAAGACTTTTTAAAGAGATAGACTGAATAGAATCGGCCCCGTAACAAGAGTAGTAGTAACTGCCTGTCAGCCCCTTAAATCTCTAGCTTTCAGGGGAATTGCATTTGAAATTCTTCTGCCAAGTGGACTGGAAGAGAGAGGGCAAAATAAAACAGGAAGACAAATTTCTAATTCCATTAACCTATTTTTTAAGTGTTAATTCATTTTTTTTTTTCCATAATGACAGATTGAACTATTCTGAGCCAGAAACAAAGGATGTTTTTATCCTTTGGTGATTCAGATACATTTTAAATGTATTCATTCCAACTGTCTGTATCGAAAATGGAATATAAAGTAAAATGCAGCTGTAAATTTTTTTCGATGAAAACTATTATGTATACGTAAAAAAGAACAGCATAACATTCCTTAAATTTTGAGCAGTCTCCGGCAAGTGTATACGAATGCTAACTTAATCAGTGAGTGGTCACAACCCCCCTCAAAATACATTTTAGCTTTATTTTCCTACTGAATCATTATCACTCATAGTACCAAGTTAATATCAAGATTACAGGGGGCTCTGGAGTCTCTGGTATTAACATCATTGTAAGTGATGATTGGTTCTGGTTTCACCAAAGAATTTTTCTCATTCCTTCTTTGGAATGCAGTGGAAAGATGCCAGCTGACTTTCACAGAACCACATATATTCAGCATTTTAACATTGTTAGTCCAGGCAGCCTCCTGGCATCCTTTTCTCTTAAACCGTGGTACTGAATTGTAAAGTTATTAAATGTGGTGATACAGTATCCTAATACATGATATGATAAGTATTTTTCCCCAAATAGATAACTAGATTAGAGTCAATTTTGGGGTGGTTTCAGCTCTGAACTCTGCTAAGAGGGTTATCTGAAGCTCTAGAAAATAAGGGAAATAGCTATAAATTAGGGTCCCTGTGCACATCTGATTGTTTATATTTTTATCTTTGCTGAATATAAATGTGATTTTAATATTGTTTATGTTGTCTGTTGCATAATACGGCATGAAGCTTTGGAATACAGGTGTGCCTGTCATGCAGCTTTTCTCTATCATTGGCATTGCAAATAAATTCCTTCCAAGAGATGGTTTGACACATATTAAAACCCAAAATACCTGTGTGCATGCAAAAAACATATGTCTGTCGGTAGAAAGATAGACTAACCCGTTTTTGCAACTTGGAGCTACATCAGTGGTTTTCAACCACCAGAGATTTTGGCCCTCAGGGTACATTTAACGATTTAGTGTTCGGAGGCATTTTGGTTGCCACAACTGGGTTGTATATGTGTTACCAGCATCAGGTGGGTAGAGGCCAGGGATGCTGCTAAACATCCTATAGTACACAGGACAGCCCCCACAACAGAGAACTATCTGACCCCACATGTCAATAGTGGTGAGGTTGAAAAACCCTGCACAGGA